GCCGTGGCTGCTGCGGTGTGCGCGGGGAAGCGTGTGCTTGGGGCCGCATTTCCCGCCCTAAAAGCTACTTCTCAAGGTGTACTCCCAGCAGTGTCGCATGCAAGCGGTAAAGCTTCCAGTCTCCATAGCTAGGGTCCTCCTTGGAAACATCCAGCACTCGCTCTTGGTTCTGTGTGGAAAAGCATGGATGCGCTGGCCTGGGCTCGCGTGAGCAGAGCTGCAGGCCTGTGCCTGCTGGGAGAGTTCAGCTCCCTGCCCCAGATACTCCAGGGGCAGTCGGCTGCCGTACACGGGGTCATGGTTCAATGCATTTGAATTAGGTCCTGGTTTTATTTAATCGCTTTGCTGGAGTTAAGTTTAACGGGTATGTTCAACTCCTGGTAAAGGTTTTTCAGCTGTTCGATTTCTGATAATGCTACTGTTGCTGAAAAGTGGGGGAGAAGGTGCGTTCTAGTTGTCTTATTATCTAAAAATCATTACTGTTTTGCTGCAGATGGCATAGCCACGCAGGTATTGTCACCCTCTGGCAGATGCTCTATTAGTTCCTTCATGAATTTAAATGACATTTAAGATACAGAACTTTGAAAACTAAAGAAGCAATTAGTAACTTTTGATTCATGTTTTAACAGATGGCTAGATTAAATCTGATTAAATCTGACCAATGTTATTTTGAGCAGATAAGGATTTTGATGAAAAAGAGCAAAGAAAAATCAATGCATGCAAAATAGCCAACTAGATTAAAAGAGTAATTAACTTATTGATTAAAACTTTAGTAGTAGATAGTGAACACCTCTGTTGGGCCGGGGGGGGGGGGGAACAAACCAGAGTAACACACATGTGATTTGTTTTCAGGCAGAGTTAAAAAAATCTGTGCAGCTGTTTATTGTGTGCTGTTCTATATGAAGTAGACTTCAAACTGTGTTTTTTGTTCTGAATAACAGTGATTCTAAATAATGTCTCATAATGGATTAATGCTAACTATTAATTTTTCTTTTCTTTTTTTGAAATGAGTTTTTCTATTTATTTCAGTCTCCTCCTCCTGTTTTTGACAAGTAATTCTTTTCTACAGATCAGACATGTCCTGGGGAAACTTAAAAAAAAAAAGTCATCTAGAAATACAGACAATGGGAAAAAGACTGAGCTTTAGATGAAACTATTTTTTTTAGGGTGTGGTTTTAAGAATTGCTTTGGATAAAAACCTTCCCAGTTTCCTTATGACTTTGAAAACATCTTTATTTAATATGATTTTTTTTTTTCCTGTAGGCTTTTGTCAGCAAAAGAAAATAAAGCAGCTTTACTTTAGGCTTTGTTCAACAAAGGAAATGGGGGGTAACACTTTAAATTAAGAAGTTTGCTAGAAAGATGTGCATGTGCTTTCTAGAGATGCTTACAGGGAAGCAGAGTTGCTGCTGTCTTTCCCTGATCTTATCACACAACTTCCCAGAGGTGCTGGTCATTCTGTGCTGTGTCACCTTGATAAGTGGCATGCGCTGTCTTGCTTTTACGTGTAGTGGGTAAGTGTTGCATTGCTTTGCTTGTACTATTCAAAACACTGAGATTGTTTTGAAAATACGTTAAAAATGGTTTAAAAGTTGTAATATCTATTACTTTCTCTCTTTTGTTGAAGATTCCTTGTTATAGCTGTAGAAGCTATTGAGGTCTGTGTAAGACAGTCAGTTTATAATTTGACCTCAGAAAGGATACGGTCAGTAGTGCTTTGGTTTAGGCATGCCTCAGTTACTCACCTAAGCACCACGGCTTCACCCCTATGAGTATTAATGCACTTTACTCCATGGTTTTGTCTTGAAGGCTGGTGGAATTGCTGGTGTCTGTGTTGACTTGATCCTTTTTCCCCTGGATACTGTGAAAACAAGACTGCAGAGTCCTCAAGGATTTAGGAAGGCTGGTGGTTTTCGTGGCATCTATGCTGGTGTTCCCTCCACTGCTATAGGATCCTTTCCAAATGGTAAACTTTCTTTGGATTACACTTTGTCGTCTTTAAGTGGGAACTTATACATAACTTAAGTATAGGACATTCATGTCCATGGCTTCCTGTCCTGCAGGTGACTGTTTGGATTCTGTGAGCCCATGTCCAGCTGTGAAGAGCACTTTCTAGAATTCTACAGTATTGAACAAACTCTTTGAGCAAGCCTGGAATGAAGGCTGCTGCATGTTCACTCTGAAAAGCCACCCTCGTTCCTTGGAAACATTCCTGGATATGTCTTCATAGAATCATAGAATGCTTTGGGTTGGAACGGACCTTTAGAGGTCATCTAGCCCAACCCCCCTGCAGTGAGCAGGGACAGCTTTAACCAGATCAGGGTGCTCAGAGCCCCGTCCAACCTGGCCTGGGATGTTGCCAGGGATGGGGCCTCTACCACCTCTCTGGGCAACCTGTTCCAGTGCTTGACCACCCTCATTGTAAAAAAATTCTTTCTAATGTCTAGTCTAAACCTATTCTTCTTTAGTTTAAATCCATTATTCTTTGTCCTGTCACAACAGGCCTTGTTAAAAAGATTCACCCCATCTTTCCTGTACACCCACTTTAAGTACTGGAAGGTCGCAATAAGGTTTCCTTGCAGCCTTCTCTAGGCTGAACAATCCCAACTCTCTCAGCCTGGCCTCATAGGAGAGGTGCTCCAGCCCTCGGATCATTTTGGTGGCCCTCTTCTGGACCTGTTCCAGCAGGTCCATGTCCTTCTTGTGCTGAGGGCCCCAGAGCTGGATGCAGGGCTCCAGATGAGGTCTCACCAGAGCAGAGGGGCAGAATCACCTCCCTCGACCTGCTGGCCACACTTCTTTTGGTGCAGCCCAGAAAGCCAACCGTATCCTGGGCTTCATCTACCAGTACCCTACTATTCATCTACCAGTACCCCCAAGTCCTTCTCCGCAGGGCTGTTCTCAATCTCTTCATCCCCCAACCTGTACTGATACCGGGGGTTGCCCCATCACAGGTGCAGGACCTTGCATTTGGCCTTGTTGAACCTCATGAGGTTCACACAGGCCCACCTCTCCAGCTTGTCCAGGTCCCTTATAAGCCTGTCCTTACTTATAGGGGCACCCTAAAGCATTTCCAGGTGCCAAAGAGGGCTTGAGTCTTGCTTGCCCTGGACACTTTTGTCATGACGCACTCTTTCATGGCATTGGAAATGAATCGAAATTCAAAGTGCTTGAGCACTGGAGGTCTTTGAGCTACTTGCCCTGGGGATACTATGCCTGTCTTTTTCTCCCTGGAAACAAATACAACACTTAAAATGAGAAGACATTAGGAATACTTTTGAAATGGAAGCTTTAAAAAAGTAAATGCTTGTAGTCCCTGCAGAGAAAAGGCATCTAAAATTCCTAACGCCTTTGTCCATTTTGTCTTTGTAGGGAGGGATAAAAAAGCAGCAAGCTATGCTGTCAGTAGTAAATGTTAGGAGAACTTTGCTGACAAATCCACCGACACCTTCAGATGTTTGATGTCCTTCATAAGATGATATAAAAAAAATTCAGTTCTTTATCTTGTCTGCTCTGTTATCTCCTTTTGAAGTGATAAGCATCTTTTGATTAGCAGAAGGCAATTCACATAGCCCTTCTTTACAATTAAAATCTGTTCCCCCGCAAGACATGTCAGTTTTTTCAGGATTTACATCTTCAAAATCTGAACTGTGGTTTTATCTTTCCAACGTATGACTGAGAACTGAAATTATGTTTAGGAGGAGTAACCCTTAAGGTGCGAGTGCCTTTGTAGTTGACTGTTGCAGTGAATAAACACAGCTCATGTTGCTATGCTCAGTTTAGTTTTGTATGTTTCTTCTTCACTGGACAGGACTTTTAAGAGTCTTTTTAGATAGTCTTTTAAGAGTCCAAGCTTTTAAGAAGCTTGGAATAATTTTTTTATGGAGCTAAAGTGCAGAATATTAAACTGATAATAGCTAGGAAGAAGTTATTAGTAACTGTTACTGAAACAGTTTTGCACATTGCAGGGTAGCAGACTTGTATCAAGTACCTTGATGATTTTGGTTGTTTGTTTTTTTTTTTTTTTCTTTTCAACTAATCAACTGATTTGAGTGGTTTGGTGGTGGTTCCCCACCCCCCCCGCCCCCAAAAATAAAGACCATCCAATTCAACCAAACGACCTCCTCTCTGCCCTTCCTGTCGATAAATATGGAAGACACTGTTTTCTCAAAATCTGCTGGACATTCATGACTAATTAACACATCTTTCCTTATCTCAATACTAAATATGGCCTTAAGTCCTAACATGTTTGATATTAATGGGAGGTTAGCCAGGAGCATGAACTTCTGAAAGAATTATCCCACAGATTATGTTGATACTGTTGTACTTTTTTGGGGTAAAAATACCCTGTTTTCAACTACAGTTGCAGAATAATAGGTGACAAAATCCACCTCTAAATGTTTTTGTGCTAGTTCTGTAATGGAGGAACAGTTAAATGACTGCATGTATTCTTGAATTTCAGCTGCTGCATTTTTTATTACCTATGAGAATGTGAAATCCATGCTGCACCACAGCTCTACATCTTACTTGACTCCAGCAACACACATGGTGGCTGCCTCCCTTGGGGAAGTGGTAAGAAAAGTTGATATATTGTGTGTCTGTGCAAGGAGAGGAAACCATTTGATTATGAAAACTTAGGTTTGGTCTCATATCTTGCTTTTTTGAGTGTTGACCATCTTGGTGCTTATGACAGTTCTTACAAAAATATTACTTATTTTTTAATGAAGTGTTGGCACTTGTAAGGATTGTTTCAAAGTGAATAAACGAGTTAGTAACAATTCTTAGCAGGCCTGTTGGCTGATCTTGCAAAGTCAGTAGATAGTGGAAGTGTGGATTGTTCCAAAACATGAATACACCTTCACATTGTAATGTTTGTGCATCAGTGTTAACATTCAAGAATGGCTTTTACAGACTTTCAGCTTCACATGGGGTAGTCATAGAAAATATTTTTATTTAAAAAAATAGCCGTAAGACAGTGATGTTATATGTAAAGTAGGTAGGTGCCATCATCTGAAACCCGTGCACCTTGACGTGTAAGAACCAGTATTAACTAATTAATAATTATCTCCCTCTCCTTCCCTCTGTGCATTCACATTCAGCCAACACCATTTACCAAAATATTTTATTGTATTTATAAACAGATTCGTCTAGTAGATGTACAAGTGACATGACAGGATAGGGCAACTGGTGGCTGTGACTTTGCTTACCGAATAATGTGTAATGCTTTCCTGATGAAGCCTGTCTCAGTGGAAAGTGTCATGGGTAATCTAATGAAGCTTTTTTCCCTTGGGATGGACATACGTGTATTTTAGTGACAGCTTTTCACATGGTCTCTCTGATAGCTGTAGCCCTTAGTTTAGTGTATTGCTTGGGTTATTGCAGGATAAAGACACATGTGAATAACGAAAATAACTTCTATATACAAGCTTTTTGAGGACTCTTCCCCCCCCCCCCCATGTGGACTCTCTCCCCCCCCCCCCTTTTTTTTTGGAAAAGTTGCTGTGTTTCTTATCCATTAAATCCATTATTTTGTTTATAGCAGGTTCTGGAGCTGCAAGTAATGGCTTCCTTTGCCTAGGTTTATACAATACCCAGAATAATTGGGACCAAATTCTGTTGAACACTTTAGGTGGTCATTAAGGAAGGTCACAAGAGGAGCCTCTGTTGTTTTCATGTCTACATTGCCCTTGCCTTGTTAACAGCATGGACTTTGCAGAAATTGCGTGCGTGAGTGGGTGTTTTTTTGGTTGGTTGTTTTATATTGTAAGTTACAAATGAAATAGCATCAACCTGTTGAATTTAAGTAACAAAATACCTCTTGCCCTCATGACTTTCCAATCTGGTATATCTAGGCTGTTTCCCAGCTTATATGGACCACTCCTTAGAAATCTTTTTTTTTTTTTTTTTTTTTTTTTTTTTGAGAAGGAAAATTTTTCAGTACTAAGGAAATATCAAGGCTATATTTGAAAGTGACTTTATATTCCAGTTTAAGATCATAAAATTAATTTCATTGCCAACGTGCAATGCCAGGATGACTGGACAACCTGTAGATCCACAGAGCTGAAAGTTTAGCTCTGGCAAGAGCTAGTACGTGACGCTCTGTAACAGGAACTTCCTGTGCAAAGAGACTCTAGCAAGTGTTGAAAGAGAACACTTCTCGATGTGATCAAATTATGACCATTCCTGTCTGATCCAGACACAAACTTTTCAATAGGTAAATACTGAAGACACTTGATCTTAGAAGCTTGAATATTGTGTTTTTAAAAATTGTTTCTGAGATTATTTGCAAACTAAAAGAGCAAGGTTGCTTTGGGTTAGCTGAATTAAATATATTCTGGGTTCGGGCTAGGTGTTCAGCTGTAAACAGTCCATTGCTGTTCCTGCCAGCGCTGTCCACCTCTTTTCTCCTCCTTTTGTCACACTGGGTGTTTCCTGGCACTGCAGTGATGAAATGGGGTGCAAATTGCTGTGTTTCCACAAGTTGGGGGAAGGGAGATGGGCTGTGTGAAACTAGCTTTTCTGGCTCTTTTGCAACTTAAACTTAACCCATGATGTGGGGCAGAAAAATGTGTTGTGTGTGTGGTTCCATATTCTCCTTTTATTAACTGAGATTTTTCATCTCTTGTAAGACTAGCTTCTTTCTCTCCATTACAGGTAGCTGTGTATTTATACTCCCTGTGGTGGCTAAGCTTACTTGTAGGTTGGTCCCAAGCTACCAGGAGTGCAGAGGGATCTGTGCGATTTTAGCTTAGCACCAGGTGCCTCGCTGTTATAGCGGCATAGCCTAGCTTCTTCCCATGGGAAGCGGTTCAGCTCTCCCTGCTCTCTTGTGGGTTCAGCTTTGATTCCCAAGTAATTTTTATTCTTCTGTGGAAATGGTACTGATTAGATTGAATGGGACTTAGCCAGGGAACTTAATTTAACATACCAAGCACATGAAGATAGGTGAACGCAGCACCTACTAACCACTCCGGTAGTGGTTATAGGCAGGAGTAGATAGAAGGTGATAGATTTAGGGCTGGGTGGGATACGTTTGTGTTGCTGCCTGAGGTGATCTTCTTTTTGATCTTGATTAGAGCCTGTGCTGTCAGATTATGACTTCTAACTTAAGGCAATGCACAGAACTTATTTCCATGGAAATTCTATAAAGGCTGTTAGAAATAAGCAAGAGGTTCTTCACCGCTATGGCAATGCATAGCCCTTAAATTCCTTGTTTGCCTGATATCTCATGGAACAGCAGATCCAAGGGGTGTTTTAAGGTTCTCAAGTGCTGTTTCAGAATCAAGCAAAATGACAACTGGGCTCACAAAGAGGTACCAGTGTTCTGTGATAAAATCCACTGGAAAAGAAGGTCTCTTCTTTCGTGAGTGGGTTATTTATAGTATACTTCCTCTGCCTGTGAGGATTCTGTGGGAAAACTATAACCAGGTAATTTAATCTTCAGCAGCCAAAGAACAGTTGGCTACAAATGACTCTTTGCATGATTACAGAACCTGTTGCCTGTATTTTCCAAGGTGGTCTGTAGTTTCGTGACCCTTACAACTCAGGCTCTTACTGCTTTCATTTTCAGGCTGACAAATGGAGATACAGCATAGTTAAATGAGTTGCTCAGGGCTGTCTCATGTGCTTGGCTTTTGCTACACTAAGGCCAGAGAAATATACAGTGATAGCCATTGAAATGGCAATCTGACTTTATGGTGTGGAAACTGCGATGTTGTAATAGCCATTTTTCAGATAATAAGATTCTGCTTTTTGCTAGCTTTTCTTCTCCTCTTGGTGTGATGGGAGAACTAAGCTGTAAAATAATTGAGATAGGGATTTAGAGATTTGCTACAATAAACCTGTAATAAAATAGCACAAAGCAATCTCACATGTGTTTTATATAAAGCCTTAGCTGATCAATAGAAATATATAAACTATTCCAAATTGCATCAGGGTAAAAGTTATAATTATAGTTTTATTGATTAGTCATTAAGTTTTAATCAGGGCATAACCACTGGGACTATTATTTTGTCAGTAGTTTTTTTTTTAATACGCACTTTTCCTCCTTTGTACACTTTAATAATTACTAGGATATAAATTGCTTTTAAATGTGAAATAATAAGCCAAAGACTCTGTCATGTTAGGATTCCCAAGGCATCTCTTTTCATTTCCAAACTGTCTTGTTCCAAAATGGAGAAATTAAGATTTAGAACAAGAAACTGATGTTGGATTTCTAGGTTTGCTGTTCCTTCACTGGTGAGGATAAATGTCAGCTACCTTCTTGTGCATCAATAAAATGTGAGTATGTGCTAAGCTTAAAGACATGTCAGTGCTGACTAATCTGTGTTTTGAAAGTGACCCAGTAAAAATACTAGGTAAAGAGGAAAAAATGCAAAGGTTGCATCAAGATATGTTAAAATATGTTGGAGAAATCTGTCAAATGGGAGCTCTTAGTTTTTATGACAGCTGCTTTTCTGTATTTTTTACAGCCTGTGTAAATTCACGGGAAACGCAGTCCCCTGGAATTTGTTTGGTCCAGTTTCCCAGTTCCAGGCTAGGAGGCACAAAACCAAGCAGTAAAAAGGCAGTGGCTGTAGCATGGGTGTGTTTTTGGTTTGGGTTTTTTTTTTTTTTTTCCTTTTAGGCAGGATGAAGATAGAAGGCTAATCTCATCTCCCAGAGTGAGATAAAGAAAAGTATGTACAAAATCTGACCCTGTTAAGCATAATTATTTTTTCCTATAACTGAATCTTGCTGTATAGGGACTCTGAATATCCCATAATGCATGAAAAATTAGTTACAAAGACACAGCCAAAACTCTAGAGGGCAGATATATGGTATATCATCTCATCTCATCAAGGAAGAAGAAGGTTGAAGAATACATAAGTTACCAAGGAGGGAGAAAACCCTTATTATACTTGTATAACTGTGAAATTTGGAGATAGGAAACATGCTTACTGCATCCAGGGCTTTGGAATTTTTCATCTTGACTCTACGTTGCCCTGTATGTTTAGTCTGCCTGTATCTTTACAGTGAACTGCCAAATGTGCTTGGAAAACATGATATCATAGGGAGTGGAAAGGAAAACCAGATGTTCTAAAATTTTACTCTTAATATTCTAAGGCAGTGTAAGTAACTCTGAGAAGGAGCAGTATCTTTAACCTCCTAGTGCCTATTTTAAATAGTAACCAGGTGCGTCTTGCAGATCCGGAGTTAATTGTACAGCTCCAGATTGATCTGTACAGGATTTTTTATGTCAGTTTAGTATGACAGTGTATACTATTAATTACAAGAAACTTTGATAAAGAGAAGTCCACCTCTGGGCCTCCCTCACCAGCCTCCTGCAAATGTGGTTTTATGGGAGAAGTTTAAGATTGTCCCAGTTTGACTGATGAGGTTTCCTTCATGAGTGCCAAAGTGGTTGGATTCAACACAGTTAATTTTACATCCTGCTGGCTTTTCCGTGGAGGTGAGAATAAAGTCGTTTGGATCATGTTCTAGAGAAGCTAGCTGACAACAACCTTTTCCATCTAATATTTAGATATTGTTATGGTTACGTTCTGAGCTTTGCAAGATATTTAGTAAAAGTT